CTTCTGTCTTGTTGTACTCACTTTATTTTCCTTAGGTTTAAATAATGTTCATACAAGGTCCTGGAAATCTTCCCCAGATTATGTTTTCTTAATACTGGTAAACTTAGAGTCCCCTATGTTTTATTGTTGTATGGCAACACACTTAAACTTAATTTTGGTTGGCCATTGTTAGTCTTTAGTTCTTGTCTGATTCTGATCCCAGTCTCCTCCCTGAAGAAACTGCATATCTCACTATTTTAAACCAATTCAGACACCAATGATGAAAGTGGTTAAGTAGGAACATGTGTACAGAGCAGGCAATAGATGTGTCTCCTCCCTACAAGATGGAGAAGAGGGAATGCTTGGCTCAGGCATAGCTACACACCTGTATGCCTTTGTGAGTATATTATACATGAATATGTATGTGTATAAGTATGTGTATGTAATACAGGTCAGCATATATTTGCTGACTTGAAGCTCTACTTCACATTTAGACTTAGACCATGACAGCTAGATACACATAAGTATATGAATTTTTCTGCTTGCTGGGAAATGGTGGTGCACTCCTTTAATCCCAGCACCCAGAAGGCAGAGACAGGTGGATCTCTGTGCATTCAAGGCCAACCTGGTCTACTGAGCGAGTTCCAGGACAGGTCCCAATGTGACAAAGAAAGCCTGTCTCAAAACAAAACCAAATAAAATAAAACAAAACAAAAGATTTATCTGCCTAATTCAACTCATTGGAACAGTTTAAAACCCAAAACTATGAAAATGAAGGGAGGAAGAACTAGAAAAGGAATGTGATCAGCTGGGGTGGAAGGAAGACAAGAGAAGTTAAAAAGAGAGGCGAATGTGATGAAAATATAGCACAAATATATGTGAAAATGTCACTGAAACCCATTATTATGTATAATTAAAATATGCTAATAAAAAGTTCTACCCTTTTTGAACTCTGGAAAATACCTCTGGTTTTGATTACATTGCACTAAGACTCAAAGGGAAGGTGGTGCCACCTCTGTCTCAGCTGTCATCGTTCATTCTCAATGATGCTCTTATCTGAACCTGGTACCATCCTATTATCTTTGTCTCCTCAGCTAGAATTCATTTCTATAGCATTCTTAAGAATTGAGCCTGATTATGTGAATATGGACCTAGCATCTCTAGAGGAAAGTAATTTCTTGTGTTTCCATATTTGATGCTGAACATCTGAAAGCTTCTCTTCACATATTCTTTTGGAGTCTTCTCCTTCCTAGGGCCACCTACTTTCATATGTGATAAGACATCGACGTCAGTCTGTGTATGTAATATTCTCTTTCATCTCTCAGGATTTTTCTGTACTTTAGAATTCACCAGACCTCTCTGATTTAGATAGGGAGCATCAGTTTTGTGATATTATGAACATAATTTCCTTAACTTGACGGATCTAACAACTAAGCTCCTTTGTGTTAGCATCTTCATTTTATGATGTTCCCACTAGGTATAATGCTTCCAATGAGCAATTTCCCGCATAAACACACATATTTGAACACTTGGTACCCAGTTGGTGACCTCATTTGGGGCAGTTACGTAATCTTATGAGATGGAGCCTTGATGGAGGAAGTGTGTCAGAGGGGTTAGAGTTTGAGGGTTGGAAGTCTTGTCATCTTGTTCTCTCTCTTCTTCCTGCATGCTGATAACATATGATCAGGCAGATTTTTGATTCCATAGTCATGCTTGCCAGCTGCCTTGCATTCCCTACAATGATGGATTGCAGTCTCCTGAAAGTGTGAACTAAAATAAACCCTTTCTTCCTTATGTTGCTTTTAATCTTTGTGTTTTATCACAGCAACAGAAAGGTAGCTAATACATTCGTCTAGAAGATATTTCTGATCTGTTCTGCCTTCTGGACAGCGGAACTTGGCTTAGGAACAGGAAAACAATCATGCACGCTGAGAAGTGTATTTGTGTTAGGGAATAATGAATAGTAGGATTGGTGTAATAACTTTAACCAAAATGTCATAAAGCTTGAGGGTCAAGTTTTGAAGTGAGTTTTACCCTGGAAGAAAGGATAATTATGTGTATGAGATCAAAGTCCTAGGAAGATTGACTTTTAGCTGGAGAAAACAAAGTTATATAAAACACATAAATAAAACATACAAAATTACCTAAACCCTTGTTTGTATTTCATAATATAATTTTAGTTGAATCATTGCAATTTTAAGTTAAGATTTGATTCAGGATTAATTCTTTTCATTATCTAATGACACTGTTATTTTTTATAAGATCATAACATTACTAATTAGCCTTATAATCCAAGTACATATTCACCAGTCTCTCTAAATAAGGCATGTGGTTGCAAGAAACAATTTCATGGAAACTTAAAACAGAGAAAAACAGAAAATCCATTATGTTAAGAAACACTTTGTTGATGGTTTTACCTGCTATAATGATTTTTGTGTCCAAAAACATAACCCCTAACTTGGTTTGACTTCAGGGAAATTTTACAAGCAAACCAAACATATTATTGAAAGAACAGTGACTGCTTATAATCTTTCCAGCCATGAGTCACCGTAGTGACAGGCCCTGTGAATATTTTGCCTGAATTTGAGCTGCTGGAGTTAGGATTTCCCACTAAAGATGCCATTTGGGGACTTGTGTACAACTACTCAATCTGTGACTATTATCACTACTAACATGTTTAAAAACAAATACTGCATTATATGAGCTCAGATAAAGAACTTAAGTCATTTCATTCTGTATTTACCAGAAAAGAATGCACAGTTTAGTATCTCTTACACTATTGAAACATTATACATCCTATATAACATTACTTATTGATATAAAACTGAATTTTTTGATAGAATAATTTAGTGTTTGATGTTGAATATCTAGCTTTCATTTAGCCAATTAACATATTTTTTGTTTTTTGTTTTAAGGCAGGATTTCCCTTTGTATCCCTGGCTGTACTGGAACATACTTTGTAGATCAGGATGGCCTCAAACTCACAGGCATCTGCCTGCCTCTGCTTCCTGAGTGCTGGGATTAATGGTATATGCCGTCATTGCCTGACAATTAGCAGGTTTTTAAAATTGCTTTGTCTGAGGAAGATTATCACTTGTCAAATAAAGATGTATAAAAGCTACATGCCTTATATTATATATAAGCAATTAACTTTCCTTTTCTAAACTTTATTTCAACACGTATTGATCTAATAATATTAATTTAACTGAATATTCCATAAATTACTTATGAGAAGTTTTGATTTTGGAAAGACCTTCTATGATGACTCCTCTGACATAGAATGAGGATCCTCTCCTGATAACTTCCTTAATACATCTCTTCACTTATATTTTGTGAACACCAGTCTAGACAGAGAATCTTGTATATCTTGTATTTTTAGAACTCTGGGCTGAATTGAGGAGCAATATGAAGCTCCATGTCTGTGTTTTGGAATATGCTACTGTGTTCTTGAAACAGTTGGCATGTTCCCAGATGTAAAGAGGAGATGGCAAGCAAATTAACCATGATGCTAATAAGACAGAAGGTTGACATATTCTCATTTGGGTTCTTTCAAAGATCCTGGAGAGGACCTTATGGATATATTCAGATATCTTTGGACATCCCTTAAAGACAGAATATATTTAATTCTGATGAAGCAAAACTGTTCCCAAGGTCTACTCTAACTTACCCTTTTGACATACTTTGTTTTTCACTCTATCACTTGGAATACTGGAATGCACAAGAACATTTCTTAGATTCATGAACATTTCTTAGAAATACCCCTGATACTGTGTCACTGTAGACAGAAGACCAGCAGTGAAGTCTGACATTTACCGAGTTCATAGCTGATCTGGGCAAGACATACAAAGTGCTAAGTGAAGAAATGTTTCTCATTAACATTGCTCAAAACAGGTGTTAAATCACTTCTGTCAAGAACATTAAGTTTATACAACATGTTCAAACACACACACACACACACACACACACACATACACACACACCTATAAAATTTCTACACAGGAGAAACTCATCTGAGGCTTTCTGAGCATCAACAACAGAAGAGCTTTCTCTTACATTATTATTGACAAATTGGGAAACTAAAAACTTATAAGATATATATATATGTGTGTGTGTGTGTGTGTGTGTGTGTGTGTGTACACAAATAGTAATTTTGTTTTTACTAGCACACCTGTCACATTAACTTCCCAGAGCTACCAAAGCAGAGTGATAGTAGGTAACTTAAAGTGCTACTCTATATGGTTCTAAGGAACCTTCTAAAACTCTAAAATGAGGACAGACCATGTCCTCACTTTGTCATTGTACCCTCTGCTGTAGAGTGAGAGAACTCTGGAACAGAAGCTCTAGAAGCTTCTACTGTTGTAGAGCACTACAACAGTGAGTGCTAACTGGGACAGTAACTAAGGATCATGACGGGAAACCCTTCACTGGAGGGAGAAACCCGACCAAATGATCCTAAATGGGAGATTTTCCATACCCAGGAAGGACCCTCCTCTAGGGAGAGCTAGTTGAGGTCAATAGTTGTGGAGTTATTAGCAGGTAAGGAGTGAGAATCTTTAATGAGACCCTTTCCCATTGATGCTAAAGGTCTGCAAAGATTTTCTCCTGAACGTAATCAGTTTGTAGCTGAACCTCTTTACATTTGGATCAGAATTAATGTCAACAGGGATAGAGATTACAGACTTCAAAGCAGGGAATTTTCACCATTGGCATTCTAAGTGCTTTGCAGCACTAAAGGAACTAAGCAATTAGAGCAAAAAAGTCTACTTTATAGTTCTTCAGAATACAGAAAAAAAAACCCTGAGTGATTTGAGTAATGGTGTATGCCATTGTATTTTCTGAATGGTCTTTGCATTAAGAATATTTGTAGATAGTAAAAAGGCCCCTGTATAGCTTGCATATTTCCCCCTTTATTGAAACCTTAAATTACTATGGTATGTCTATCACAGTTAACAAGTCAAGACTGAAGCCCACACATTTCCAGATTTCTTTAACTGCTCCTTCTTTCTTTTTTTAAGTTTTAGGATTTCTCCTGGGATGGTACACTGCACTTATGTGACAATCTCCTAGGGTCTTAATATATCAAGTCTTTGAGATGGAGAATCCAACGTATCTTCCTTGTTCAATGACAGGTAGCTGAGTTTCACTCTACACTATAAGGGCACTAATTAGATCTAATGTTGGTTCTGGTTGTGGGTAAAAGGGTCCTTAGAATAGGCCTCAGCTTGGTGATGGTAAAAGTTGTATTTTTCTGGGTAGCACTGGTCACAAAATGGTAGTTTTTTTTCCCAATGGCACCAGTTCACCAGCTTTACCATGGTTGACTATAGCAGGGAACTTTCATCACCTTTAAGACACGTGGCTGAATGATATAGTAATGTTAACACAACGGTGCTGGATGTGAATGGAGATTTCTTTTGAGGCATTGGTTCTTATGACCGTTAATCTCCAATATGTGGGTTTACAATCCTTTCCAGAAAAATGTCACTGCCATTCCACATTCCAGTTTAGAAGGAATGTGTTGCTGTGACTGTATGAATATTGAGTACATCTGGGCTCGTTCCTCTGAGTGGCCTATAGGTAGAGCTATTTTATGTCTACAGAAGCATGACTTATCTGTCTTATGAGGATTAGCTGCAGAATATAAGCCGAGATCTAAGGAGCATCTTTGTAAACTTTGCAAGCTATAGTCAGTTTCTCAGGAACACTACATTAGAAACCTGGGGAACCTCAGAACACAAAATTATGTGTGTATCGCCATTGACTCTTAAATAATACATGCTTTTGCCCAATCTAGGGACATAGTGAGGATTTTGAAATTCTCTCTCTCTCTCTCTCTCTCTCTCTCTCTCTCTCTCTCTCTTTCTCTCTCTGTGTGTGTGTGTATGTGTGTGTGTGTTTATGTGTGTATGTTTATACATAATGCACATAAAGACATTGGATGATGCCTGATATAAGGACCCTTTCGCTTGTTTCGCTTGTTCTTTGTTTAATGACCATTTATTAACCGCTTCATTGTGCTCAGCAACATCCTAATGTATTGTATCGCTAGCCTCATTTTAGACCATCATCAATTACTCCCCTGGAGTGGGGTCACAGTCTGTTCTCTACTTATTTGGAAGGATAAAGTACCTAAATCAAAAATTCAATCCTAGAAAACAGCAGCGAAAGCCTAGCAGAGAGACAGACACTTTGGTAGGCAGACAGGTAGGGAGAGAGGCAGAGAGCTTCAAAGATGGCGGGTTTCTCCTTCATCCTCCTGACCTGAGACAAAAGTCTGGCAGTTTCAAACAAAGACCTTGTAGGTGTTTGTCTCCCACTAGCAGATTCCCTGTCAATGGACTGACTCAACAAGGCTTAATCAGGACAAGAAACACAACAGTCCTGGGCCAATTAGTCATTCTGTCTTTCTTTAAACTGACAACCCCTAAATTAGGAGAGGAAGACCCTTCCAAGGTTAAAACAAACAAACAACCAAAGCACCCCAAAAGATACTGGGTTCTTCAGCTTTTCAAGCCCCCACCCCTGTCTACTTCATGGAGAGTATTTTTCTCTGTGCCTGTTGAATGTGTATTTCTCCTCACCCCCAATAAATGCCTTTCTTCAGCTGCTAATTCTGTCTGCTCCTGCTTGTGGTGTTTACAATTTATCTCCTGCTCCCTGTCATGCTTGAGACCTTTTCCTTGCCCTTTAATTCTTTAGCTGGCGGAGAAAACAAACCCAGTCAAGGTCCCTAGACCACATCAGCAGAGAGAATACTGAAGAAGCCCCAATCCAGTTCATGTAACCTGAGCTTCCAGGCAAGTGGCATGATTGCAAAGCAGGGTCTCTGAGGATGTGGGCCCTCCTCAGCTTACACAAGGACTTGGAGAGGATGACCCTGACATAGACAGGTATGGGAGAGCCAACTTCCAGGCTCTTTTCTGTACCCCCTCCCACCCAGGACAAGTTTTCCAAACAGAGAATGACTTCAAACAATTATCCAATTATCCCTTGTAAGAATGAGGCCCCCATGTCACTTTCTTTTTCCTCACGTAAAATAGAAATGGAAAGAAAAAAGCCACAGAAGATTTGGGTGCTAGTAAGTAAGGTGACCATTTCCTTCCTCAAGCCAGAGATGTTGTCTTGTTGACAAACTCAGTTCCTGACTGGTCAGCTTAGCTTGGAAAACTAGCACTTTATAATCATCTGGTAAGCTTATCTTCCTTTTTTTGGAAACTTCTAGAAGCTCTCCTGTTTCTTCTTTCAAGAATCTGATATTAAAAAATCTTATATGGAATTTATAATTCTTAAAAAAAGAGAAAGATTTTCTTTTTGAAAGTTGTAGGGCATAATCAAAAATAAACACAGTGCTTGCTTGCTCCCTGTAATCTTAGGATACATGTGGAGTTTTCCTTATATTCTTGTGGCTATGTGTGCTGCTGACAGCTGGCCCATACACTTCCCCAGCAGGAGCTGACCTTCTCTTTAAAGACACAATCAATCAGTGTGCTTCCAGACTTTCATAGTAGTGCTTCAATCTGTGTCATTCAAAAATGCTATGCTGCGGAATGATGATTAAAAATTGAAAAGAGCATAAATAAACACAGGGGCTACTGATTTCCTGACTAAAATGGGTTTCGTCAATGGTAGAAGCAGAAATTAAATAAATCCACCCCAGTGAAAATAAATAAATAAATGCCGAAGTTTCGTAGGCATTAAAGCATTTCAAAGCAATTCAAAACCGAAGCCATTGTGACAGAAAAAATATCCTGAGATCATCACAAAAGCCTGGGTATCCATCATACAAAAACTTTCATTTCAGTTTCTTGTTGTAGGGCTTTGAAGAGAGACCTCAGTCCACCGAGAGAAAATATGTTTGCAGCAAGAGACACCGAGCCTCGGATGAATGATGGTGAACCAGACGGTGCATGGGACCTACGCTTTCTCTGGCCACCACAGGTGAACACAGCTTGATCAGCTTCCAAAATGAGCATTAGAATCACTGTGGATATCTCTGCAAATAAAACCCCTGGTTTCCAAGCAATTAATACTGATTCCAACCAGTGGGACAATGTTGAGGGACCACAACCAGGAGAGTCTGCTGTTTCTGCTCTATGCTAGTTTAGCCACAGACTGTGCACTGCAGATGTCGAAGGGAGCGCAAACAGCATGAGAGAGCCACAATCTTATCTTCCTGTGAATCTAGAAGGTCAGAAGTGACTTAGTCTGGTAATAAACTCCTGCCTCCCAGACAGCATAGAGTTTTCTCTCCTTAGATTCTTCTTTCTTTAGACACCACACTCTCTCTCACACACACACCATTATAATTATTGCTTAAATTTATTTTAAAGGAAAATAACAATCCTGTAAGGGGGACAGCCAAACACAGAAGCACCAGATATAATGTGATTAAAATACCAAATCTCTGCAGTTTCTTTGTTTGTTTTTTGTTGCTCTTTGTCTTTTCTGAGAGGAGGTCAAGGTTGTGCTGGGGATGACCTGAGAGCACTGGGAGGTGAGCATGATTGTGATCAGGGTGCATTATGTGAGGTTCTCAAATAATCAACAAAAATATTACATTAAAAAAAGAATGAGGTTCCAATCATTCAATTCCTGTGTGCACTTTCTTCAGCAACACAGACCCAACCTCAATACCTGAGATGTAGCCAAGGGTTACAATGAAAGATGGAAGGAAGAAAACATAAATAAGAGTGTGGCGGCACTGGCTTTGGTGATGATGCTTCTGGCTGTACCCCATCTTGGCTGATGTTATCATGGTTAGGAACATATGTGTCAACTACCATGGGCTGAGTCAGAGAGGCAAACATCAGGCAATAGCCAGTCTTATTCTCTGTGTGACAACTTGGCCTTCAGATAACTACCCATTTCTCAATAATACAGAGGGATATGTTCTCAACAAACTAATCACACCTGACTAGGTTCCAGCAGCACTACCAAGAGGGCCAGCTTTCCAGGCTGTGATGGAGCACATTTAAATCATTGCATCTGGAAAAATCAAAGAATTGTTTTTGGAAGTGACACAGTCAATTTTTGAGAGTTTTGATCAAAATTTCTCTAGGTTCACAATAGATGTGATTATTGGTCATTGTTGTGGAGTAATGCTCTTGTACAATGTAAAAATTGGTCGCTCATATTAGTTTAATAAAATGCCGATTGGTCAGTAGCCAGGCAGGAAGTAAAGGCGAGGTGATTAGAGTAAGAGAATTTTCTGGGAAGAGGAAAGGCAAAGACAGAGTCTCCAGCCAGATGCAGAGGAAGCAAGATGAGAATGCCAAACTGAGAAAAGGTACCAAGCCACATGTCTAAATGTAGATAAGAATAATGGGTTAATTTAAATTGTGAGAGCTAGTTAATAATAAGCCTGAGCTAAGAGGCCAAACAGTTTATAATTAATGTAAGCCTCTGTGTGTTTCTTTGGGACTGAATGACTACAGGACCAGGCAGGACATAATCTACCATTTACAGGTCTTTCTGTTAATATCACCATTTTCAATACATTATGCTGCTGAGGAAAGAAGCTGTGAATGCAATCTTCAGATCAAATAGAAAAGTCTAGTTGAAATGAGAGATTGTGTAGTTAAGTGTAAGCAAGTGCTTGCTGTATCACAGCCTCTGGGATGTAGCTTAAGGTAAGAAAGAAACTGACAATGTCCAATGTTGTGGGTGATAACATCTTTATACTGCTTTGTTTAGATTTTGCCTGTTAATATCCCTACGTACAATTTACCCCTACCATTCTACGGCATTCATTTATGAATGTGAAGAACATTGCCATTGTAGGAGACAAAGATGACCCTCCATGGAAAGATAAAAACTGAAATACATGCTGAAGCAATGAAAACATTGTTTCTCTAATAAATTTCCAAGTTAACAACACATTAACAAGAATTACCACCATCTGAAATTGCATAGAAAATAAAGTAATTTTTAATTTCATTATATTATGAGTTTTATGAGATTTCAACACATATTCTTATGTTTTGGATTTCTATAACTGCCTGTGGGCTGTCAATTAACTCCTTGATATTGTTTTTCTCAATGTACCAGCATCCTTGATAACTTATTTTGATAATGTTGGAATTTATAATTCTTTTATGAATTAAAAACCAATGCTAAAGTCATTCTTTTTGTGCAAAAAATATTATGATTTTTTTAAAAAAAATTCTGGCTATGTAATGTTTGTTGGAAAAAATACAGACATGCAGAAGAACTAATTCTAGTGCCAGTATATACAGAAACTCCTTTTCTGTAGTGTGTGACGTCCATTCCAAATTTTAACCTTATTTGTATTACTCATCTATCAAAGCAAAAGAGCAGTTTATATACTTAGTGTTAAATGTTTTCAAGTGGTCCTCAAATTAGCCAGAGATGTAAAAAAATTCCTTTGTAAAGTTGTTAGGACACTCAACACTAAATCCAAGTATTACCAGTTACCTTTACATCATGATTTTCTACTTAGGGTGAACATTCACATGCAAGATTCTTTAAGTATCAACAGTGATACTTGAAGGTACCTTTTTGAAAAACTGTGAGGAACTGTGACAATGGAGCCTTTGGAAAGTGATCAGAAACCAAAAGAAACTGGTTAACCCAAATTACTGCAAGGTCATACATGCCACTAAATCCAGGAACTTGGCTCTTTGGCTTCTTTCTCTCTATGCAAGACTCTTTTACATCTGTGATAACTAGGAAAGGCCCCTAACATGATGTCTTTACTATAGCCAAACAATGATGAATACCAGCAAGATCATAGTAAAATCAAATCTAGCTCAAAGCAGATTAATAACTATTGCAGAATTTACAGAATCTACAAACATGGCTTCTATACGTCTTTAGAGCTGGAAAGAAAATCACTACATATAAAAGAGCCAAAGAAACAAACTAATGTAATTTAGCAAAGTTACCCCTAGTCCTAGGGGGATTTGAGACCATCATTGGTAGATAGGCAATCCTAAATCATAAATGTTGGACAGGAGTAATGTTTGCCTAGAGATAAACCTTTACCTAAGGACGGGATATCTTGACTATGAAAGACCAATCCTCAAGTCCAGGATTTAAAAAAAAAAAGTCTCCTTTCTATGAAGTTCCAGGTCTCAATCTCAGCCAAGACTCTGGTATGTAGATAGCATTAGTCAGCAGAATGATTGCCTTGCCATTGAATAGCTGCCTCTACTCTGGGGAGAGTAATTGTGTTGAAAAACTTTTAAGCTAAAGAATCCATTTTTTTTGTGCGTGTTAAGGAGGATTCTGTGTGCATCAGTTCATTAAATATTTTTTACATTTAGATAATTTGCCATGGTAGAATAATTCAAATTACACTTGTATAGCTGGGTAATCAACTTGGTTGAGTCGAAATTTTCTAGGATAATGGCTATTAATATAAGATTCATCTTCTTGAGAAAGGACCAGGTTCTGTGATGAGTCTGAGCTTAGTAATGTGATATGATCAGCAGCCCCTTTGGGGAGATGATTATTAACAATGAGATAAAATGCTTAGACAACTTTTCTCTAGTTGTTAATTAGCTTAAGGACCTCTGACCACAATTTCTTTGTGAAATGCCCCCAGACTTTTAATCAGGCTTGCAACGTTTTCCTAAGAGCAGCTTTTAAAATCTAGTGTAACGTGTTCATCTAAACACTTTTCCCCTGTAGAATGCCTCTAACCAAGGCTAGCTCCACATTGCTTAGAACGCCTATTTCCTTGCAGCTAAACTTTGACTCTCCACTCTGGCAATTCATTGCTAATAAGCTGTTTAACACATTAGACTGTAAAGTCCCATAGTGTTTGAAAATAGCTTGCAAAATGACACTAATTGATGCTGAATATAACAAGTCAGAGGAAATTGCTTCAAGGGATGTGCTGGGTTGAATTCATAAGAAAGAGTGAAAGAGTATAGAGTTACCAAAGGTTGCCTCCAGAACAATTGTCAAAAGCCTATTAGCTATCAAGTGAGATTTATACAACAAACTTAAAATTTAAGGATGAATAGATTTGGAGGGATGGTATTTCAATAGATAATTAAATTATTTTAAAATACTTAAATGCTTTTTTTAGAATGTTGTTTACTCAATAGTCTTTTCTGCACACAAAAGCTTCCCATGGAGGTGTTTTAAATTCCCACACTGACACCATCGAAACTTACATAATTAGATTGGAAACTTGTAACTGAGAAGCTATCGTAATAGTCACTAATAATGACGAATGACTAGCAGAAGCTTGACTCTTTGGTATTCCTGCTGACATGGCTTTTTACTAGTTTTTTCTTGAAATCTTAGCCATTCTCGCGGTCTTCTTCAACTCTTATCCAATGGAACCAGAGTCATGAATGATTATGAGTCCCATGATGTGGGTGATGGAACTCAGGTCTTCAAGGGCAGTAGGCACTCTTAAATGCTAAGATGACTTTGTCATTCCCCCATCAGAAAACCCTGTATATTTTATGATTAAAGTATCAAGAACCAATTACAGCCTGCATGGGACTGAGCTAGGCACTCTGCATTTATGTTATAGTTGTGTAGTTGGTTCTCTTGTGGGAATCCTAACATTGGTGACAGGGGCTATATCCAACTCTTTTATTGGGCTCCTGGGACCCTACTCCTCATATTGGGTTCATCCTTAATGAGGTGTTTAGTCTTACTGCAACTTGATATGCCATATTTTGTTGATACTCATGGGAGACCTGCTCTTCCCTAATCAGAAATGGAGGAGAAAGAGTGGGTTGAGGAGTGGGAACAAAGATGATGGGGCAGGGACTGGAAGGAAAGGAAAAGGGGAAACTACAGTTGCGATATAAAATTAATTAATAAAAAATAATTTCAAGATTCTTATAAGAGAACATTAAGACAAACCTGACTCCTGTGTAGCTACAGGTTTACACCCTGTAGGCAATCCTGATGTTAGAGTTTGAGGACAAATAGTAAAACTATGCCAAATAAGCTACATCAGGAAGGCAGAAGACCACTGAAGAGAAGGTTCTGAGGTTTGTAACACACAATGCTTTTCATAAAGACTCTGTCTGTTCTATAGAAAGTGGGGGAAGGAGACAAAACAAGCCTTTAAAGAAGACATGAGCCCCTTTCTTGTTTCATATCAGTCTATAGAAAAAATGATGATTGCTTTTCATGGTATCAAATCATCTGAGGACTGGATTTACAGGAACACAGTAGCATGAGGAGAGATACTCCAAAAACATCTTCAGAGTAGCACAAAGAGATCATCCAAATGTCTGGCTTTGATATACATAATTGAACAGAGACTAGAAGAGACTTTTAATGTAAAACCTCTAAATTCATCTTTTTTTAATGAAAAAGTCAAATTATCAGGTAATGGTATACCTGAGTCGATTCATATTTCCTTACAAGTTTTGTGATGAAAATAAAAATTGTTGG